TGGCATCTTGATAAAGAATACATGGGAGGAAAATGTTTTTTAACTTTTTATTTAAAAATTTTCAGCTTACAAAGAATAACACAATAAATATCAATGTTCCCTTGACCTAGATTCATCAGTTTTTAACATTTTGTCACATTTGTTTTGCTGCTCTCTGTTGTGTATGTATTATTTTTTATAAGTCATTTCAAACTAAACTGAAGAACCCATACATTCTTCTGCTTATTTCTTCTAATAATTAGAACATTTTCTGGTTCAATCACTTATTATGCCCCCTCCATTTAACATGAATGTAAAATTATGTGATTTATGTTTCCATTTAAATTGTTTTACTCATCTCAGTAATATCTTTGTCTTTTTCTTTTTTTCTGTTTTTTGGAGACGGGGCTATCCTGAAACTTAATATGTAGGCCAAGTTAGCTTCAAACTCAGAGGAATCCATGACTGTCTCTGCCTCCAGAGTGCTGGGATTAAAGGTGTGCATTAGGTCTGGGCTTTTTTTTTTTTTTAAAAAAGTGAGATAGTGTCTAACTAACTCAGGCTTTGAACTCACTATAGTTCAGGGAAGGCCTTACATTTTATATTGTCTTGCCTCAGCTTCATGAGTAGCTAAGATTAAAAGCCTGCCACAGTTGGCTCACCAGCATTCTGCTCCTTGATGATTTGTATGAAGACACTTCTTTTTCCTCTGTGGAAGTTTATCGAATCTTCTCTTGGGTTCTTTTTGTGATAGGTACTATATGGACACACACTTTCTCTTTCTCTCCATATATATACACACATGTATATGTATATATATCTATCTCACCAGGCAGGGGCTCCACCATGGAGCTACACATACAGCTTATTAGTGGCCCTTCTTAATCTAAAAGTCATGCTCTCTTATACTAGGATGTTTTTAATTGAATTGTATCATTATTACTGGTTTTCTTTGCCCTTGATTATGTTCTTGTGGGAGCTGTTTTTCATAACTGGACCTTTTTAGTAGGGTTTTTAGCTTTGTTTCTTATTGTTTATCTCCTTAATTTTTTCTGATTCATGAGTACATTTCCATAGTTGTATCTTTTGTCTTTTTATAGTAAGTTTTTTTTATTGCTGTGATTATATTTTTAAGTTTTAAAAATATCATATATTTTGTCAGGGAGTGGTGTGATCCACAGGTATGTTTTTACTGTTTTTTTTTTAATTTAAAATTTTTACTTATTACTTATTTATTTTCTTTTTCTTTCTTTTTTTTTTTTCTTTGGTTTTTCGAGACAGGGTTTCTCTGTGTAGCCCTGGCTGTCCTGGAACTCACTCTGTAGACCAGGCTGGCCTCGAACTCAGAAATCCACCTGCCTCTGCCTCCCAAGTGCTGGGATTAAAGGCGTGCGCCACCACCGCCCGGCGGCAATAGTCATTTTTTAATGTGAGCTTAAATATGAGATTACTTGAGCCTACAAAATTGAGATCAGCCTGGGAAACATAAAAGGAGTTATTTCTAGTTTTTTTTTCTTTGTATTTGTTTCTCAGAGACAGTCTTTTTGTGTAATCAAGGTTAGCCCTGAACTTGATGTGAGCCTCCTGGGATCACAGGCCTGTGCCAACACACCCCATATATTTGTTATTTTTGAATATTTCTTTAAAAAGTATAACATTTGTGTTTTGCATATGTAATATTTTCTCTTAGATGTTGTAGAATAACAATGATAGCTCTTTAGGTTTTGACTTTTTTAGGCTGTAATTTTAGACTTAAAGAAAAGTTGAGTGTGAATATTCTACAGAGAGCTCTGTACACTCTTGACTAAGCTTCACTCAGTATGGACATCATACATGGTCACACTGTATCTTTATCAAACCTAAGAAGTTAACATTGGAGATTGGGTGTACTTACTGACAGGATATTTGCCCAGCCTCTGGGGACCCTGGGTTGTTAGTCCCAACATACACACAAAAGAAGCAGTAGAAACTCTCATCATTGAATATTGTTTGCTGCAGACATTTTTCAGATTTTACCCCTCCTACCCACATAAGGTTTTTCCTGTTGGGTAGCTAAATCATAATACTGGGCTGCGTTTGGTGGTTATGTACTTTCTTTGTGAAGGTTTTTAGCCTTTCCCAGGGACGTTCAAGTTTGAAGCCTGGCCAGCATTTATATTATAGACTCTACTTCAATTAAAGTTGGTCTAGTATTTTCTCATGGATTGACTAGGGTTTTGCGACTGGAGGGAGTAACCACAGAAATGGAATTGAGCCCTTCTGTCTTTTTATTTTATTCCCATAGTTATATTTTGTTTTTCATACTCTTTGGTTATGTGTCTTTTGATTTTACAAGTAGTTATGTGTTCTTGATTCTTTCATTTGGATACTTCCTCAGACATCTGGTAATACTTAAGAAGTATTGCCTTTTAGAAGGTGGATGGAAGAGGTGATGAAAGCTTGTGACAATTTGAGTGAGCCTTACTGACTGTTAGCTGAATTGAAGGACGATGTGGTAGGAAACTTAGGTACCTCAGTGTTGCTAATGTAAGGTCCCTGCATTACCTAACAGCTCCACCCTACCCCACCCCATGCTTCAGCTGTTAAGATTCTGCAAAAGATCTTGTGAGGTCTTAATATGTTTACTTAACGTACCCAGCTTGAATATGGTAAGAGTACTTTTTCCTCTTGTTAGTATTCTCCAGTCTAGAAACTGACCCTTTCTGGAGAACTAGACATTTAGCCTTTTATCAGGCTGGTAGCTGGCCTCACAAGATCCGAAGCTTCTGAAACAGAAGCTAAGCCAGTTCTTTCTTTACTTAGTTCTTACGTGTGCATAGGTGAAATGTTTTGGAGATTTTGTTGTTATTTTTGGCTTTGTGGGTTTACCTAGTTACTTTGTACTTTTTCTGCTTTCCCAGAAAATAACTGAAAATTAAATTCCTTTTTTTAAATATACATTTATTTATTTATTTATTTAGTGTATTAATATCTGTGCTGGGGGCACCAGCTCTCTGTGTGTGTGTATGTGTGTTTTGTCTGTCTCTGTCACACATACACGCACACACACACACACACACACACACGCACAAGCACACACACACAGAAAGATATATATAGAGAGATTGAACTTACATATGTCAAAGTCAACTTTCAGGAGTCCTTTTACCATGTGGAACTCAAGTCTTCAGGTTTGGTGGCGAGTATATTTTACTGAGCCATCTAACTAACCTCCTACCAACATCTAAATCCTAATTTCTTTTCCTTTTCTTTCTTTCTTTTTTTTTTTATTAAATTAGTTATTTTATTGGCGTGTGTGTGTGTATAAGCCATAGCATGCCTATGGAGGTCAGAGGACAACTTGCTATGTGGATTCTGGGACTTAACTCAGATTGCCAGACTTTGTATAAGTCATCCCTTTTATGTTTTAGAAAAAGTCTCATGTGGCCCTGGCAGTCGAGAATTGACCTTCCTCTACCTCAGACTTACAGACACTAATATTGTCAACTGAATTTAAAATTAAAGTATCTGGGGTAGGGTCAACATTATTAAAGCATGCTGTATGAAACTCTCAAAAGAACCAATTTTTAAAAATCTGGGGCTGGAGAGATGGCTCAGCAGTTAATAGCACTGGCTGCTCTTTCAAGGGACCCTGGTTCTATTTCTAGCACCCACATGGTGGCTCATAGCCTCCTGTGACTCCAATTCTAGGGAATTCGATGCCCTCTTCTGGCCTACATGGGTACCAGACAGACATGTAGGCAAAACACTCATACACATAAAAATAAAAGTAATTTAGAGGGCTGGAGAGATGGCTCAGTGGTTAAGAGCACTGACTGCACTTCCAGAGGTCCTGAGTTCAAATCCCAGCAACCACATGGTGGCTCGCAACCATCTGTAATGAGATCTGATGCCCTCTTCTGGTGTGTCTGAAGACAGCTACAGTGTATTCATATATAATAAATAAATAAATCTTTAAAAAAAAAAAAAGTAATTTAGATACCTGTGTCCCCTCCAACTGCAGATCTGATTTAGTAGATGTGGAGTGGATTTTACACATGAGTATTTTAGAAGGTTTTTTTTTTTTGTTTTCAAGAAAGATTTTTTTTTTTTAAAATGTGTAGCCCTGGCTGTTTTTGATCTTTCTTTGTAGATCAGGCTGGCCACCTTCCTTTTGCTTTCTGAGTGCTAGAATTAAATGTGTGTTACATCACCTCACAGTTTTTTGGTTTTGTTTTTTTTTTTGTTTTGTTTTGTTTTTTTGTTTTTTTTTTTGTTTTTTTTTTGAGACAGGGTTTCATATAGTCCAGGCTGGGTCTAGATCTTTCTGTGTTGCCAAGGGTAACTTTGAACTCTTGGAACTTCTGATCTTCTTCTGCTACCTCTCAAATGCTAAGATTGCAGGCATATGCCAGAGGTCCCACTGCACAGGAGTAGTTTTGCAAAGCTTCTAGGTGTTTCTTATACATAATCAAAATGGAGACACTCTTCCCTGGATAATTTTAAGTTGTTAGCTTAGAAGCAAACCTAGGATTTGAGGAGTATACTTTCTTGGACCTTTAGAGTTTAAGGACTTAGCATAATGGGAATATTGCCCTCTCTCTGGTTTCTAGTCTTTGTAATGCTTATACCCACTTGTAAACATACTCAACCTGAGTTCTAGAAAATGAAATTATTTTCTCTCTATTGCCTTTTTTAAATGAAATGTTAGAAGTAATAAATGTTGTAATGCATTTATTTCGAGTATAGTTTTTTTCAGAAAAGCTATTTTATGAAATAAAGTTGAATCACTGTTTAGTATGTTTAGAAATAATGAAGTTTTTGAATATGAAATGTTTTGTTTTATATCATTAAGTAATAAACTACTGAACTTTATTGTTGAAGTTAGGTAATATTTACCAGAAAACATAATATTTTGAATTTTACTATTTTTGTGCTACACTGAGTAGAACTGGAATTGAGAAAAAAAATGGGATTAAAAAAAAGAAAACCAAATAAACAGAAAAAGCAACCTTCAAATCTCCGTTTTTCTCTTTGTTTAGTTCTTTTTGGAGGCGGATATCTGCTGAGACAATAAGAATTATAAGAGGTCAGTTTCAAATAATACTCTTTCATGTTTACAATGTAGTAAAAGTTTTCATGTGCTAAGATGTTAAACTCTGGGTTTCTGTTGTCTTCCACAAAGAATATTGGCAGACGTAGGGTGAGTGACCCAAGCGCACAGGGAGGCCGGCAATGACAATGGTGCTGGCCCACTCCCTTCTCTCTAATTTAGGACTGGAATCAATGGAAATGGGACAGGCTGAGGTAGCTTCTAGAGTGTCTGAGTGGCTACTCAGTGATTTTCCAGGCATGACCTCCCTTTCTGGTGGCTTGCATGCCTGCACTGGGGAGCAGTGTTCCGAACAGGTACTTGCCGCTGGGCAGGCGTCAGCTGTTAAACATACTGCTTCCAGTCTGTGCAGCCCTTAGAAAAGGCTGCCTGGGTACCGGCTCCCAAGAGAGGACAGCGTGAAGCTGGCTGTGCTGAGCCTTTTAATCATCGGCCCAGGGACTGTATTTTACTAACGCTGACCTTTACTTTCATGATCTCCAAGAATCATTACTTTCTCATGAATTTTATTTTTGTGACCATCAGATTTTAGTCAGATTATAAGTTAGAATGTACACACGTGTGTGCCTTAGTTCCCTTGTGAAGGCAGCAGCTGGGAGCCAGGTACGGAGATGTACTCCTGTCATCCCAGCTGTTGGGAGGTACAGGCAAGTCATTCCCTGCTATAGAAGTTTGGGGTTAGCCTGGCTGTGAGATGCTGTCTCTTCCCTGCCTCTCCCAAATACTTGGCCAGCCTTTATTTTTTATTTTTTATTTTTTATTTTTTTGAGACAGAGTTTCTCTGTATAGCCGTAGCTGTCCTGGAACTCACTCTGTAGACCAGGCTGGCCTCAAACTCAGAAATCCACCTGCCTCTGCCTCCCAAGTGCTGGGATTAAAGGCGTTCGCTACCACTGCCTGGCTATTTTGTATTCTTTTCAGTTGCTGTATTTTTTTTTACTATTTTTTAAAGTGGTCAGTGTGTTGGAATGTCCCTTTTTTCCTTTCCTGTTACTCTCTAACTCCCCCTTTTCTTCTAATGATTTGATTGCCTTTTATACTGAACTCCATACAATTTAGAGACTTAAAAAAGAAAAGAAATACAGTATTACAATACAAATGTAATATAATTTACAAATAGTAAATATAGACAGTTTTTTTCCATTGTTAGGGATTTAAGCAGAGCCTCCTGTATGTTAGGCAAGAGACACTTTAAATATGTTTTTGTTTTGTTATTTTCCCATTAACGCTTGCATTGCCCTCCCCAGTCCCTTTCCCCATACTTCCTCACTTTAAATATTCATTTTCTACTTATGTGTCATAGTACTGAGTTGATATACAGATTTACAGCCCTGGCTATCCTGGAACTCTCAGAGATCCACTTGCCTCTGCTTCTTGAGTGCTGGAATTAAAGGCATGTGCCACCATACTGTGATGTAAAGTTTTTTAGGTAAGTATTTTGAAGGAAAAGCATACTTTTAACTTAGTTTGGTGGGCTTGTTGTTGTTGTTGTCGTTGTTATGGGCCTTTGAACTGGTGACTGTTTTTGGCTAAGCTTGTTCATTAGCTACTGACGATAGCTCATCTTGTCTAATAAGGTCCTGTATCTAGAAAAATGGAGTTTGAGATGACATATCAACCACTTTGAGTACAGATTTAAAATTTGGTGGCAGATTCACTCCCTCTACTAATTCTGTGTACAGAATTGAACAACAAAAATAGACATTTGGAGGTAGATTTTTTTTTAAAGATAGATCTTAAGTTTTTGTGTTTTTGTGTGTGTGTGTTTTTAAAGATTTATTTATTTTATGTGTATGAATACACTGTAGCTGTCTTCAGGCACACCAGAAGAGGGCATCAGATCCCATTACAGATGGTTGTGAGCCACCATGTGCTTGCTGGAAATTGAACTCAGGACCCCTGGAAGAGCAGTCAGTGCTGTTAACCACAGAGCCATCTCTCCATCCCTTGGGGGTAGATTTTTAAAATAATCAATTGAAGAAAAAAAAAAACATGTACACACAGGGTTTTTGTTGTTTATTGTTTTACATTAAATATGTATGCTTTGTAAAATTCGTAACTTATCATTGTATGGTGTTTGGAGCCAGGTAATCATTATGTAATTTAATCACCCAGTTTCATGCAATTACCACTCTTGCTAAACTCTTAGCATTCATTACCATGGTGCTACAGATGAATGAGTCTCCCAGCAGCTTTTGCTTATAGTACAGGGTTCCCATTGATGTAGTTATCCCTTTAGTATCACTGGATTAGTGAAGAGATGAGTAATGCTTACAGATTGTGGGAAATACTTCTAAAACTTTAACTTTATAAGCATAGTTACCACAACCTCTTTTTCCTCCCTTGGAGGAAACAAACGTACTGAAACAGAATAGCTATGGAAGCCAGCCTTTAATCCCAGCACTCGGGAGACAAAGGTAGGTAGATCTCTGTGAGTTCAAGGCCAACCTGGTCTGCAGAGTGAATTCTTGGATAGCCAAGGCTACACAGACAAACCCTGTTTTAAAAAAACAAAAAGTAAAAAAGAATAGCTAAGGAAGCCAGTTCTCAGACTTATTTCTGGCCACTTGTGGTCTATGCCTTACTTTCTTGCGTGTCCTCCCTATAGGTTATTGCTTATGACCTACTTTTCTCTTCATTTTCCCCATAGCTCTGAGAGCTTATTTTGAAAGAATAATGGATGAACCATCTCCATTGGCCAAAACTCTGGAGCTGAACCAGCACTCCCGATTTATAATTGGATCTGTGTCTGAAGACAACTCAGAAGATGAGATCAGTAACCTGGTGAAACTGGACCTAGAAGAGAAGGAGGGCTCCCTGTCACCAGCCTCTGTCAGTTCAGATACACTTTCTGATTTGGGGATCTCTGGCTTACAGGATGGTTTGGCCTTTCACATGAGGTGAGAAGAGTTGCTTCATGGTTAATGTGTTTAATCTGTCTTGTTATTTTCACTGCTTATGTTCTGAAAGGAATAAGAATATATTAATTTCACCTTCATTTGCCTGGCCCATCTTCTATGACTGGGAAATGATGCACTTTTCAGGCTCCTACATGTCCTCAGTTTTTCCATCCTTTATACATACTAGGCCCTTCAATATGACCTGGTGAAGGAGAGTTAGGTTGAAGAGTTTCAGCTTCTGTAGTACTTTGATTAATGATGTTGTAACTCTCATTGATTGATATGATCTTTGCTCACATGGCCAAATTTGTAATCTCCCCCCGCCCCCGCCCCCGACCAGTGCTAGTAATTGAACCCAGGGCCTTATACATGCCAGATGAACACTTAACCACTGATCTTCATCTTTAGCCCATGTGGGTTTCATTGTTTGTGTTTTGAGTCAGGGTTCTATTAACCCCAGTTGGACTAAAACTTCTTGTATAGAATAAGCTGACCTGAAGCTTGTTGAGACCTTCCTGGTTTTGCTTCCTGAGTACTGGGACTATACACAGTGCCTATGGACAGTTTGTTTTTGAAACTGGATCTGATATAGCTCCAAACTCCTGAATTCTTGATCCTCCCGACTCCACCTTCTTAGTGCTGGTATTAGGTGTGTGTTACCTCACACATGTTAAAGTACTGTTTTTTGTTTTGTTCTGGGACAGGGCCTCATGTAACTCAGGCTGGCCTCAAACTCACTATGTAGCCCAGCCCAGGCTGACGTTAAACTCCTAATCTTGCTGCCTTGGCTTGGGAGTACTAGAGTTACTGGACTGCTGGGGTACTCTTTTAAGCCACCACACCCTTTGATTGATGGCTGATTAGATAACTAGCCTAGTCATTTGCTTTTCAATTCTTAGGTTTAAAGATTTTGGATCAAATATTTTGTGAGTAAACTTTTGGAAATTATCTTCATTCCTAGGAATTTGAACACACAGAGACACAGAAATATACAGTAAAACAAATAAACAAAATGTTATCCAGGTGATTCTAATGTACATTGAGGGTAAATATTGTAGTTCTAACCTAGATAAACATAAATTAGGGTAGGTGCTGCTACTATTAGTATCTTGATAGTCTGTTATTAATGGATCATAAAATAATTAGACTTGTTTTTATATACTGAAGATGTTGATTCTATAGCAAAATTCCATTCTGGTAATTCTTTGTTGTTATCTGTGGGGCTTGGAATTGTAGCTTCTGTAAAATGAGGCAGTTACTATATATTAATAATCACTCGAATTAAGCTATGTGGAGGTCAGAAGAATAAAGCAACTTAGTTATGTTTTATTTATTTCATGATTCCTGGGACTCACAATGAAACAGATACCTTACCTAAAGTTTTTTTGTTTGGTTGTTTTTGTTTTTTCGAGACAGGGTTTCTCTGTATAGCCCTGGCTGTCCTGGAACTCACTCTGTAGACCAGGCTGGCCTCGAACTCAGAAATCTACCTGCCTCTGCCTCCCAAGTGCTGGGATTAAAGGTGTGTGCCACCACCGCCCGGCGCTTACCTAAAGTTTTAATGCTCTATTTATGTATTATCAGTACAGGATCTCTTATTTCTTAGGCTTACCTTAAACTTGGGTTTGTCCTGGCTTAGTGTCCTGATTGCTGTGTTTACAGGCACAGACTACCTTGCTTGATGAGCCAAATGCTTTTGTTTTTGTAGATAAGAAAACTGAGGTCTGATGAGGGAAAGTAACTTGGTTAAGGTTGAGAATTCAAATTCAAATGTCCCAGTTGAATTTTTGTAATTGTTTTACTCTGATTGCCTGACCTCACCATCTTTCTTTCTTTCTTTCTTTCTTTCTTTCTTTCTTTCTTTCTTTCTTTCTTTCTTTC